TAGGATTTTGGCAGTCTGAAGAATTTACTAAATCATAGAGTTAGATACATAGATGTTCCTCAACTTGTGATGGGGTTACAAGTCAATAAACTCTTCCTAAGTTGAAAATATCCTTAAGGTGAAAATGCATTTAATATACCTAACCTACCAAACATCCATCATAGCTTAGCTTATCCTATCTTAAATGTGCTCGGAACAGTTACATTAGCCTATGGTAGGGCAGAATCATCTAAAACTGTATTATTTTATAATAAAATATTGATTATATCACATAATTTATTGAATACGTACTAAAAGTGTAAAAACAGAATGGTATGTGTACTCTAAGTTTCTACTGAACTCATATTGTTTTCACACCATCACACAGTCAAAAAATTCTGAGTAGGACCATTGTAAGTTGGAGTGCAGCTGTATTAGAAAACTAGATCAAGAGGAAGAGGAGGGAGATGTAAAAAAAAAAAAAAGAAAGAAAGAAAAAAAAGAAAAAAGAAAACTAGATCAATATATTTCATGAACAGTGACACAAAACTTATTAAAACATTAGCAAACTGAATACAGCAAGAGATAAAAAAATGGATTATTCACAATGACCAAGTAGGATTTAGCTTAGGAAAGTAAGGTTGATTTAACATCCAAAAATAAATTGATATAATTCATTAATAATGTAATAAAGTATAAAACCACATAATCATGTCAAGAGATTCAGAAAAAGCAATTGACAAAAATCCAACATCCATTCATGACAAAAACTCTCAACAAACCAGGAATAGCAGTATCAGATCTTAGACTGAGAAAGTATCTCAGAATAACTGGAAAGTAGTGCTTTAAGATCAGTAACAATGTTTCAACCAACTTTAAAAAGTACTTCTTCCTATCATAAAGTTAAAAATAGTATTAAAAGAAAGCCAAACATTGCATGTTCTCACTTCTAAGTGGGAGCTGAACAATGAGAACACATGGACACATGCAGGAAGTTGCACACACTGGGGCCTGTTGGGAGGGGCATGAGGAGGGGCAGCATCAGAAAGAATAGCTAATGGATGCTGAGCTTAATAGGTGATGGGCTGATCTGTGCAGCAAACCACCATGGCACACGTTTACCTATATAACACACCTGCACAAGTACCCTGGAACTTAAAAGTTGAAAAAAAAAAAAAGGTTCAATTATCTTAAAATGTCAAAAACCTTATGAAAGTAGATGACTTTTTAAAATTGTCCCTATTCTTTAAAACTTGTCAGAGAGACTGCAATTCACAAAATTTATTATCTAGATCCTTAAAAGGCTTTCGAAAGGTATCAAGGATACCAAAGAAAACATTTCGGTATTTATTCCATGGCCCTATATATCTCTCTACCTTGTGCATTCATACAGCCTCGTAGAAAACCTGGTAACTCCACAACACTTAGTAGAGAACAGAATGGCTAGGCTATAGCAAAAGCACCCTACCTCACTCTCTTACTCCGAATGTCTCCATATGTTCCCACTCTCTTTACCCGCCAGCCACATTCAATCTCCTTCCATCAATTATCCCTCAATATCACCCACTCTCAAGCCACCGCTGCCTAGCAGATACCAGAGACAAGTGATAGGATCTTCATATAAACACACTCATCCACTCAAAGGCCTTGGCCCCTCCAGGCATACCCAATCCATGCCTTTGTTCACAAGGGCACCCAATGAAGAGACTGTGACCCACCAGGAAATCATAAAGTCATGTTATTTAAACCTACCATCCCAGCTCTTCAATTTCCTTCCTTAACTCCCACTGTGAACTTTATTTTCACCATTTTTCTATGTGAACTTTATTTTCACCCTTTTTCTCCATTCTCACTCCATGCCAAGTAATTCCAAGACTTTAGGAAAATGAAAAGTAGCAGCTCTCCCTCCCCGAAATTTTAAAACCATTTCTACCTCAGAGAAGTGCTGCCACAATGGGAGGCACTGCACTTGTAAACTTAGAATATCATGACTAGTCTTAATCGGGCAAGGCAAACAGCACTGCATTTATTCATTTATGTGCTGTCTGTGGCTGCTTTAGTACTGAAACGGCAGAGTTTAAGAATTCTTTCTGGTCAGGTGAAGTGGCTCACGCCTGTAATCCCAACACTTTGGGAGGCCAAGGTGGGAGGATTGCTAGAGGCCAGGAGTTTGAGACCAGCCAGGACAATAGAGTGAGACATCATCTCTATAAAAAATTTAAAGATTAGCTAGGCATGGTGGCACATGCTGTAGTACTAGTTACTGGGGAAGCTGAGGCAGGAGGATCACTTGAGCCCAAGAGGTCAAGGCTGCAGTCAGCCATGATCACATCAGTGTACCTCAGTCTAAGCGACAAAGTGGGAAAAAATAAAAATAAAAATAAAAACAGAGAGAGACCTTATCTCAAAAAAAAAAAAAATTCATTTCCTACCTAAGGTCACAGAGATATTTTGTATTTCTTAATAAACATCTTAGTATTTTGTCACATTTAAGTATACAATCGAATTATAATTGATTTTGGGGTACGGTAAAAGGTAGGGATCTAATTTCTTCTTAGAAATTATATGGCCACAAAGTCAAAAAATGTTTACTGTTTGGCTCTTTACAGAAAATGTTTGCTACCTCCAATAATAATTTGCCCAGCAAAGTACCCCAAAATAAGGAGTCAGTTTGCACCTCAGTTCCGATGAATGTAGGACGAATATACAGACTAGCAGATGTTGAATATGGGACCCATTCTTGATCCAATTTCACAAGCTGTTGAATACACTCTAAGAGCTCTTCTTTGTCAAATACCTGAAAGAATGAAAAACATAACAAATGACAGAATTTTCTCATAATGTGACAATAATAAATGATCCTCACTGAAGCATTTAGACTATCAAAACAAAAAAAGTAATAATAATCCCAACACAAAGAAATAAGAAACGTTTGAGGTGATGGATATCCTAATTATCCTAATATTTATTTATTTATTTATTTATTTATTTATTTATTTATTTATTTATTTATTTATTTATTTATTTTAGATGCAGTCTTGCTCTTTTGCCCAGGCTGGAGTGCAGTGGCGCAATCTCGGCTCACTGCAACCTCCGCCTCCTGGGTTCAAGCAATTCTCCTATCTCAGCCTCCTGAGTAGCTGGGATTACAAGCGCCCGCCACCATGCCAAGCTAATTTTTGTATTTTTAGTAGAGATGGGGTTTCACCATGTTGGTCAGGCTGGTCTCGAACCCCTGACCTCGTGATCCACCCACCTCGGCCTCCCAAAGTGCTGGGATTACAGGCGTGAGCCACCGCACCCGGCCCAATTTTTATTTATTTATTTCATATTTATTCTAATCATTACACAGTATATGCATGCATGAAAACATCACATGTACCTCATAAATATGTAAATTTATGGTACCAATAGAAAAAGCTTTTTAAGTAATAATAAAACCAAACCATTTTTTCTGTGATTTTCCCCCCAAAAATTGTGATGGGATGATGAGCCATCTACATGTGAAAGATAAGAAATTAGATCCCTACCTCTTACCATATCCCCAAATCAGTTCTGATTGGATGATATACTTAAATGTGACAACATACTAAGACTTTTATTAAAAAGCACAAAATATCTCTGTGATCTTAAGGTAGGAAAGGATTCCTAAGTGGGGGCTGTAAAACACAAATCATAAAGGAAAAAATGGATAAAATGTGACTACTTGAAACGTAAGGACTTCTATTCTTCAAAAGATGTGAAAGCAACAAACAGGGTGAAGTTATTGGTAGCATGCTCAACAAAGGATTTTAACGGGTATATATATTTGGATGTCCCCAAAGTCAGTGAAGAGATAGATAACCCAATAGGAAAATGGGCAAACGCAAAGAGTACTTCATTTCTAAAGAAAAAAAATTACATCTACTAGATGGGTGATAGTTTATAAAATAATTTAAATAGTCTCTGCTCACTTCCAAGGCAGAGAAACGTACTTTCAGGGATGTGATGGGTTACCTAAGGTAGAAATGAGTCAGTTATAAGCATCTGAGTAAAGTTCATGATGTCAGAATTTGTCTATTTAAATATTAACCTGTAACAGCAATAGTAGTATAGTAATGTTATAGAAACTGGGACTGCCAATCACATAGGTGAACCCTGTAGCACCTGCCTCAGCCCCTGGTATTGCTGTCTAGAGACAGAATTCAGTGAGAAGAGAACTTGACCACAAATAAAAAAAACCTGGATCTAATTTCGTGCCCTGTCCGTTTGCTCTGTGTGACTTCAGACAAGTCATTTAATCTCTCTGGACTGTTTTCTTCTCTGTACAAAGGCACTAATAAACTGTACAACGAATAACCTTCTTAGCAATGCCTTACTGCTGTGATTACACAGATAAGGATTGTGAAACCACATAACACAGTTGGTAGCAAAATTGATGTATAACAAATATTACTTCCCTTTCCTTCTGGCCCCATTTTAAAGATCTTTTCCCAGTGATCTAGCTGTAATGGGTAGAAGAGCGAAACTATGACCTAGTCCAAAGAATTTACCTTAATTTCCCCTCTGCTACTATATTATGGCCTCCAAAGGAGGTGGGTGAAATGCGGGTTACAAAAATAGGCAGAGGAATGAAGAGCACTTGGATTTAGCTGTCCTCGGGCTTCCTGAATGCGTAGCTTGGGCTAAATCCCTGAAGCTGGGCACGGTGGCTCATGCCTGTTATCCCAGCATTTTGGGAAGCAGAGGCAGGCAGATCACTTGAGGCCAGAAGTTCAAGACCAGACTGGCTAACATGGTGAAATCATGTCTCCACTAAGAATAAAAATAAAAAATTAGCTGGGCATGGCTGCATGCACCTGTAATCCCAGCTACTAAGGAGGCTAAGGTACAAGAATCACTTGAACCCGGGAGGTAGAGGTTGTAGTGAGCCGAGATTGTGCCACTGCAGCTTGGATGACAGAGCAAGACTGTCTCAAAAAAAAAAAAAATCTAACCCATCTTACAATGATTTCTGCTCCATAACAAACACTGTGACAGCCACGATTCAATGGCCATGAGAAACTGTTTTGATATCTTTTTATCTCAAAACATTACTTAAGATAAAATATCGAAATAATTAAGTTACTATATCTTGCTAGCATCTAAAGCAATTAGGCAAAAATATCCCCAAATTACCTGTGCTGCACACCATATTTTCCATTTTCAATATTAATTTCATGTGGTCTTCAAATGTTATTTTAGTTTGAGATACATTTTTCTTCCTTATTCTTTCATCTCTCATATGCATATGAATCCCCCACTGACACTGATTTAAAAAATTGTGGAATTGCCAAGTGATATTATTTTCTTGGTTTTTTTGTTTGTTTGTTTTGTTTTGACACAGTCTTTGTGGCTCAGGCTGGATGGCAGTGATGTGATTATCTTGGCTCACTGCAGCCTCCACCTCCCAGGTGCAAGTAATTCTCATGCCTCAGCCACCCAAGTAGAGGAGACCACAGGTATGTGCCACCAAACCCGGCTAATTTTTGTATTTTTGGCAGACATGGGGTTTCACCATGTTGGCCAGGCTGTCTCGAATTCCTGGTTTCAAGTGATCTGCCCACCTCAGTCTCCCAGAGTGCTGGGATTATAGGAGTGAACCACCGTGCCCAGCCATTTTCTTGTATTTTTACCTAACTAAAGTAGATCAGAAATAATGTTAATGTTCATATGGTTCCTATGGTTTGACTGAATATTTATCTAACTATTCAGAAATTATTATTTGGTGGTCAACAACATGACTCATTACATTAAAAGAAACACAAAAGAAACTCCTACATTTACATACCGGCAGAGTTGCCCTCACAGCAGATCGATACATTCTATCCATGTTGAGTTTTGGCCGAAACAGTCGAATTTTATTATCTACTCCTCGAAATGCCTTCAATCCTTCAAATAACTGGAGATAAAACAGAAAAAATCTTAGAGGGTAACTACACGAAAACAACCCCTGTGTTCAAGAGACTGACTTTCCTATGGGCGCTCATATTATTCATCCCATAAAGCTGTTGACCTTGACCTCAACTTGAGATCATTGAATCCAGGAAAGCTAACAGTTGACTGGACTGGTAAAAACAATGGTTGAGGTGGGGGAAAGTTGTTTTATTATCAGAATTTGGTAGGAATTCCGAGTTCTCCTCTGCTTAGCAGGAGCCACACTGCTGAATAACACATTTAGGCGTTATTTAAGGGAGCAGGAAGAAAACTCTAGAATCATGCAGCACAGGTTAATTCCCTAGGCAATGGAAGTTGAAACCAAAGGCCTTGTGGCACCGTGGCCCCCAAAGAGTACCCCCATATCCTTTCATTTAATCTTGTTCATTTGAATACTGGATAGTAGATAATCCAGCTGTGACTAGAGCTGGTTCAGTCCCTAAATCACAGAAATCAAGCAGCTCAAGACCATACTATGTTAGGCCATGTCACCTCCCTCAAACAAAGTGCTGTCCCCAACAAACCACTGAGCAGGGATTTGAAAAGACTTCAGTAGATACATACTGATAAATACAGAGAAAAGAGAAAAATTAATAATTTTAGTGGGAAAATTTAACACAGGTTCTCTAAGTAATTTATAGAACAAACAGGCTAACCCTTAGTAAAGATATGGAAGATATGAACAATAGGAACAACAAACTTCCCTAACTGACATAGAGAGAACTCTTATACAGACCAGCTGTAGAATTCACACATTTTCCAACCACAAGATAAGCAAGAAATCAGTACCAAAAATATGACTGGATGCCATCCATATTTTGGAAAATAAATCCACCACTAAATAAACCATAGGTCACAGAACAAAAATGGAAATTAGAAAATAAGTTAAACTGAATGATAAGGAAAAGTAAGGCCTTTAAAGATGTATACCCTAAAAACTTACGTGAGAAAAAAAGAAATACAAATCATGTATAATTAAAAAGCACAAAATTAGATGTTTTATTTAAGTGCAAATATATTATTGGTTTATTAAATATAAGAGGACTAAAGCTTCAGTTAAAAGATAAGTTTGTTAGATTGGACTCAGCTGACAGTATCTGAATCAAAAAGACGGAAAAAGATATATCATGCAAATACTTTCTTTTTTATTATTTATTATTTTTTTCTTTTTTTGAGACAGAGTTTTTCTCTGTCACCCAGGCTGAATGAACTTCAGTGGCAAGATCTTTGTTCACTGCAACCTCTACCCCCTGGGTTCAAGCAATCCTCCCACCTCAGCCTCCAGAGTAGCTGGGACTACAGGTGCGCACCACCACACCCAAGTTAATTTTTTGTATTTTTTGTAGAGACGAGGTTTTGCCATGTTGCCCAGGCTGGTCTCAAACTCCCAGGCTGAAGTGATCTGCCTGCTTCGGCCTCCCAAAGTGCTGGGATTACAGGCATGAGCCACTGCACCTGACCTGCAAATAATTTCTAAAATAAAACTGGCAAGGTTCCATTACTATTTATAAAACGAAAGACTTTAAGCCAAGAAGCCCTACTGAAGATAAAAAAGGCAACTTCAAGGTTGGGTGCGATGGTTCATGACTGTAATCCCAACATTTTGGGAGGCCAAGGCTGTTGGATCACTTGAGGTCAGGAGTTTGAGATCAGCCTGGCCAACATGGTGAAACCCATCTCTACCAAAAATATAAAACTTAGCCAGGAATGGTAGTGTGTGCCTGTAGTCCCAGCTACTTGGGAGGCTGAGCCAGGAGAATTGCTTGAACCCAGGAGGCGGAGATTGCAGTGAGCCGAGATCACACCAGTGCACTCTAGCCTGGCAACAGAGCGGCAACTTCCTAAGGTTCAATTTAAACTTCATAATTTTAAAACTATACATACTTAGAGTGGCTATTATCAAAAAGATAAAAGATAAGTATTAGGATGTGAGAACCCTTGTACATTGAGGGTAGTGGTGTAAATTAGTACAGTCATTATGGAAAACTTATTGAGATTCTTTCAAAAACTAAAAATAAGACTGGGTGAGATGGTTCGTTCCTGTAATTCCAGAACTTTGGGAGGCTGAGTTGGGAGGATGGCTTGAGGTGAGGAATTGGAAGCTGCAGTGAGCTATGATTGCACTACTGCACTCCAACCTAGGTGCAAAAAATTAATTAAACTAAATTAAATTAAAATTAAAATAGAACTACCATATGCTTCAGCAATCCAACTTCTGGGTATATATCCAAAAGCAGAGGTCCCCAACTTTTTGGCACCAGGGAGTAGTTTTGTGGAAGATAATTTTTCCACAGGGATGAGCGTGGGGAGGTTTGCCAAGTGAAATTATTCTACCTCAGATCATCAGGGATTAGATTTTCATAAAGGCGCACAACCTAGATCCCTGCAATGCACAGTTCGCCATAGGGTTCATGCTCCTATGAGACCCTAATGCTGCCACTGATCTGAGATGAGATGGAGCTCAGGTGGTAATGCTCACCCGCAGCTGCTCACCTCCTACTGTGCGGTCCAGTTCGTAACAGGCCACACACCACTGCTGGTCCATAGCCCAGGGTTTGGGGACCCCATCCAAAGGAATTGAAATCAGTATGAGGTATCTGTACTCTCATGTTTACTGTAGCATTATTCACAATAGCCAAGATATAGAAGCAACCTGACTGTCCACCAACAGATGAATGGATAAAGAAAATGTGGTATGTATACACAATGGAATGTTATTTAGCTATAAAAAGGAAAATTCTGTCATTTACAGTGACATGAGGAACCTGTTGGACATTACGCTAAGTGAAACAAGTCAAGTGCAGAAAGACAAATACTGCACAATCTCACTTATATGTGGACTGAGAAAGTCAAAATGATGGAAGCAGAGAAGTAGAGAGTAGAATGGCGGTTACCAGAGGAGTCTAGGGGTTGGGGAATTGGGAGATGTTGGTCAAAGAGAACAAAATTTCAATTAGACAGGAGGAATAAGTTTTCAAGACTTATTGGACAGCATGGTGACTATAGTTAATAATAATGTATCATATATTTCAAAACTGCTAAGAGATTAAATTTCAAATGTTCTCACCACAAGAAATGATAAATATGTGCAGTATTGAGTATGTTAATTAGCTTGATTTAGTCACTCTACAATGTAAACATATATCAAAACACTATATTGTACTCCATAAATAAACACAATTATTTGTCAACTAAAAATTTAATAAAAATTGTATGCACTTAATGACATGGCTTCAAAATGCATGTAAAGATTATGATAATCTCATTCAGTAACATAGATGCAAGATATACAAAAGGCTAATACAACATGGTCAAGTTGAATTCATCCCAGAAATGGAGATTGGTTTAACATTCTAAAAAATCAATTAATGTGATTCATTATATTAACAGTTTATGGGGGAAAAAATTATATGATCATCTCATTAGATGTAGCAAATGCATCTGATAAAATTAAACTAACTTTTATGATTTTTTCAAGTTTCCTAGATAACAACTAAAAAACAAAGATATAAGTGACAAAGGATAGCTATAATAAGCTCGCAACAAACGTTATACTTAATGGTAAAATGTAAAGGCTTTCCTTACCAAATTGGGAACATCGCAAATTGCCTACTGCAACCACTTTAAGTATGTACAACCAGTATAAAGCAAGAATAATGAAATTTAAAATACCAGCTTGGAGATGAAAAAATATAACTGTCATAGATCATAAAACATAGATGATACAATTACAGAGATAGAGAACCCAGAAAAATCTGACAGATAATCTTTGGAAATCAACTGTTTAGGCAAGCTGGCCAGATGCAAAATTATATTCCTATGTAACAGCAGCAGTTAGAAAATAAAAACACTATTTACAGTAGAATTAAAAGATAGACTACTTAAGTGGAGAAAAATCTAACAAAAGAAGTGAAAGATCCATAAGGAAAATATAAAACTTTACCAAATTATTAATGTAGAAAGCAATTTCATGCTCATGGATAAAAAGTCTCAATATTATAAAGATGTTGATTTTCCCCAAATTGATTTATGTATTCAATGTAATCCAAATGAAAAAAAAAAAATCACATTAGGGCATTTTATTTTCTTTTAACAACCTGCATGACAAAAGTTTATCAACTTGATAAACTAAATCTAAAAATTACATGGAAAGAAAATGACCAAGAATATCCAAGGCGCTCTTGGAGAACAAAGTGGAAGGACCTTTCCTAGCAGGCAAGGCTCTTTACAATGACTGAGAGACCAAGACTGTGGCATTTATGCAGCCAAGTAAAACAGCTGAACACAGAGATCCAGAAGCAAACTCATGTGTACATGACAAAGGTATCATCGTGACATATCAGAAGGGAAAGAACTGTCTTTTTAAATGGTCCTGGGAAAACTGGGTATACATAGGTGGAAAAAAATTGGGCTCCTACTTCATACAAAAATCAGCTTCTAGGATTAAAGACCTAACTCTGAATGACAACATCAATACTCTAGGATGTCTTTATAATATAAGGTCAGAAAAAGAGTCTTTAAAGACACAACAAATTTCAAACATAAGGCAGATTGACAAAACTGCCTTTAATTTAAATGTATTTCTTGTCATCAAAAAATTATAAAGACAGCAATAAAAAAGTGAACAAAAACTTGAACAAGTGGGCACTTCAAATAAGAACATATTTAGCAACCCAATAAACATACGAAAAGGCAAGCTGGAAACCGTGGCTCACGCCTGCAATTCCAGCACTTTGGGAGGCTGAAGCGAGAGGACTGCTGGAGCTCAGGAGTTCGAGACCAGCCTGGGCAACATGGTGAGACTTCGTCTCTACAAAAAATTTAAAAATTAGCTGGGCACGGTGGAGTACACCTGTGGTCCCAGCAACTAAGGAGGCTGAGGCAGGAGGATCACTTGAGCCCAGGAGGTAAAGGCTGCAGTGAGCTGCACCCTAGTCTGGGTGACACAGCAAGACCTTGTCTCGA